CCTGGAAAGAGACGTTGTTGTCTTGCCTATATACTGAGTTCTTCGGGGCTTACAGTCCCCAAGTGGGCATGTGAAGGTATAGACGACGTTGGTCTCCTTCAAGGTGTTCTGCTTGGTGTCTGGAGAGTTTTTCATGAGTAGGTTGGCCGTTTTTTTGTTTTTTTAGTAAATTGTCAATTGTATTTTCTGATTTTTGTCTATAGGGATAACGTTCCTATCAAAAAAATTTCTTTCAGGACTCTTTCCTCCGTTTTATGAGCCGTGGAAAAGAAGTTTCTGTAAAACAGTCTAATAGCGGGTACAAGTGTTGTGCTAGTTGACTCTTCAGAGGTTGCATGGCGTTTCACCATTCTTTTTATGACGTCTTCAACAAAACCGTTAGAAAAGCCATTGTTGACTAGGACCTGCCTTACCCTACAGAGTAGTTCTTCATAGACTTGCTTCCATCCTGAGCTGTGGCTGAGAGCACGGTCGACGTAAGAGTTGACAACACTCCTCTTGTACCTGTCTGGGCATTCACTATTGGCATTGGGGCACATTCCTATGTTTCCCAAGTGTAGACTGCAGTGTGGAAGCCTCCGTTCCTTTCCGTGACTGTTACATCTAGAAACACCAGCTTCATACCATTCTCCATCTCGTACGTGAAACTCAACACAGAATTCCGCTCGAATGCCTCCTTCAGCTCCTGCAGACGTCTGACATCAGGTACCTGCATACAAATGTCGTCAACATACCTGCAGTATATCCACTATACATGTATAGTGGATGATTGACAGGGGGGTGTGGAGTGGTGGGGGGGGGGGGTGACGGGAAGGGTAGGGTTTGATGATAGGAAGGAGACGGCGAAGCTGACGTAATGGATAAGAGGAAGAGGGGGCGGGGGGGGGGGGGGGGGGGTTGATGAATGTGGGGGGGGGGGAAATGTTTGTGACGGGGAAAAAGGTGAAGACAGAGGGGAGAGTTGGGATGATGACGATAAAGATTAAGCCACCCAAGAGGTGGCACGGGCATGAATAGCCCGTAAAGAGTTGGGAACAGGGAAGGGGGATGATAAATGAAGGGGTAGAAGGGGGATGGGGGGGAGGCAGAGGTGGGATGGGGGGGGGCAGAGGGGGGGGATGGACCCCTTCTAAATTCTAATTTCCTGGTCCTCTCATCTCGGCCTTGGTGACGTATTGCAAACTTCCTTATTTTAATCTTATTCTTTATTAGTATTCCTTATTATACCTGGTGTCCCCCAGCAGGTAGTCACTCACTTGTACGCCTCTTCTTTATCATCCTCACCCATCTTGAGGTTATCTTGAGATGATATCGAGGCTTAGCGTCCCCGCGGCCCGGTCCTCGACCAGGCCTCCATCCCCAGGAAGCAGCCCGTGACAGCTGTCTAACTCCCAGGTACCTATTTTACTGCTAGGTGAACAGGGGCATCAAGGTGGAAAAAACATTTTACCCCTTTTGTCTCCGCCTCCACCTGGGATCGAACCCGGAACCTCAGGACTACGAATCCGAAGCGCTGTCAGGTCACCTGACGCCTATTGGCACAAGACAATAGGTCTAAACTGTATCTTGAGGTTATCTTGAGATGATTTCGGGGCTTTAGTGTCCCCGCGGCCCGGTCCTCGACCAGGCCTCCACCCCCAGGAAGCAGCCCGTGACAGCTGACTAACTCCCAGGTACCTATTTACTGCTAGGTAACAGGGGTAACACCATGACTGGGAAAGGTTTCTGGCCCCATAATATCTGTATTGGTCTTAAAAGTTGCACCCTCAGCCTTCCTACTTTCTCCACAGAGACTGAAAACTTCCCTTATAACTGGCTTTTACTTTCTGCAGACTGTCTGACTGTGTACTGTCGTTATTATTGGGTATATAATAGATTATATGAGCCATTATAAGCTATTATAGGTCAACTACATGTATTTCTCTCTCTCACACACATTATACGAGATTATATAGTCATCATGTGACATTATAATCAATGTGATAGGATGACAGACGTCACCATGTGACAGATGACAGACGTCACCATGTGACAGATGACAGACGTCACCATGTGACAGATGACAGACGTCACCATGTGACAGCTGACAGACGTCACCATGTGACAGATGACAGACGTCACCATGTGACAGCTGACAGACGTCAGACGTCATCATGATGACATGTCAGACGTCAAATGTCACCTGTGCTCAACAGCTCCCAGAATCCCAACATTTTTTCCGCTTGCTGAATGGAGGCATTATACTATAAAAAAAAACATGCCCAAATGTTTCTGTTCCGGCCGGCGATTTAACCCGGGGTTCCCCCCTCTGCTGCAAGTCCAAGACGTAGACCACTGTGGTACAGAATACCCCTCTTAACATCTTAATGTCTCTCCCTTCTACTTCAGGATCTCTCAAACTATCTTGACTCTCACAGACAATTTTTTGTTGGTTTCAAGGTTTCCCAGCTAATTTGCCCCCCCTCCCCCCCTAACCACTTCAAGAGCCACATTTCCTACAATCTACGCGCTGTATAATACAATACATTTATACAATATTTCCTCCTCGCAGCAATGGAAATATCTTGACGGCTTTTAATCATAATACAGATAGGTTGTATTAATTTATTTCTAGTAATACAGGGTTTTAGCTTTTTTTTTGGTCTATTTTAGATAATCAGGTTTTATGAGGGGCAAAAGTAGATAGAGTTTTGTGTAGTAGATATCAGTGAAATAGATGATAGCGGGTGGAAAAGTAAATTTTAAAATTTTCAGAGCTTTTTCCGTCACGAATGTTATCAGGAAATTCACACAAACTGTTCCCTTGGTGTGGAGTGAGAGAGGTTCTGGCTCCCTTTCTCACCAGCATGTCTCTCACTACTATCATCTCTCATTACTGTTATGTCTCACCACCACCACTACACCCACTACCACCACACCTACCACCACCACCACTACCACCACCACTACCACCACACCTACCACCACCACTACCACCACCACTACCACCACCACACCTACCACCACTACCACCACACCTACCACCACCACTACCACCACACCTACCACCACCACTACCACCACCACACCTACCACCACCACTACCACCACCACACCTACCACCACCACTACCACCACACCTACCACCACCACTACCACCACCAAGTCAGGTCAACATTCCCCACCTTCCCCAACCTTGACTGATGCATGTTGACCTCTCCTCACCCCTGTGGTTACCAGGGTGGGGAGGAGGCCGGCCAGGCGGAACCCGGGGTGGTGGGGGAAGAGGGAGGCTGGTGGGGGAAGAGGAGGGGTAAGGAAGCTAAGGGAGAGGGGCAGGGAAGGTCAGGAGGTACCACATAAAGGGAAGACGTGTGGGGAAGAAGGTATAGGTTCTCAAGTAGACAAGGAAGATTATGGGGAAGAAAATAGGGAGGCGGGAAAAGGCAGGAGATGGCGGCGACGGGGAGAAAAATCTAGAAATAGGGGAAACATGAAACACCAGAAGAGAAAGGAACTAAGACAGGAGAAGGAGGGAGGAAGAATGACGTGGGTAAAGGCAAGGAAAATACAGTTACCCAGAGAGGCAACAGTATTAGGGTAAACAGGGAACCATCATCATGGTAGCAGGACAACTGTATGGGGTGCAGAGGGGCTGAGGTAAACCAGAAATGGGTCCATGGGGGTCCAGATAACCTCCCCCATGGGGGGTCCAGATAACCTCCCCCATGGGGGGTCCAGATAACCTCCCCCATGGGGGGTCCAGATAACCCCCCCATGGGGGGGTCCAGATAACCCCCCCCCATGGGGGGGTCCAGATAACCTCCCCCATGTGGGGTCCAGATAACCCCCCCATGGGGGGGTCCAGATACCCCCCCATGGGGGGTCCAGATAACCCCCCCCAATGGGTGTCCAGTAATCCCCCACGTGGGGGTCCAGTAATCCCCCACGTGGGGGTCCAGTAATCCCCCATGTGGGGGTCCAGATAACCCCCCAATGGGGGTCCAGATAACCCCCCAATGGGGGTCCAGATAACCCCCCATGGGGGTCCAGATAACCCCCCATGGGGGCCAGATAACCCCCCATGGGGGCCAGATAACCCCCATGGGGGCCAGATAACCCCCCATGGGGTCCAGATAACCCCCCATGGGGTCCAGATAACCCCCATGGGGTCCGGATAACCCCCTATGGGGTCCAGATAACCCCCAGGTTGATTCAGAGGTGCCGCGCCCATGTACGCAGTCCTCCCCATAATCTGGACAGTACTGCACAACGATGGGTCGCAATTATGGGGGCTGAAGATTAGACCCCCCCCCCCCCCCCCCCAAGTCTGAAACGTGGAGGCAGCGACGTTTTCATCTCTTCTGGACCACTACCACGTCAACACAAGACTTGATAATGGTCCAAAACGGACCGAAACGTCGTCAATTCCTCCTTTTCAAATTGGTGGTATTGGGAGAACAATATTGTAGCGCAGACACGACCTCCACAACTCTCAGGTATTTGGTTCTATTCCCACGTAAGGATAGACACGTCTGGGTACGTTCCCTTTCACCTGATGGACCTATCCACCTAGGTCTATTCACCTATACAGGTATTCGCTAGTTAAACTGTTGTAAGAGGACCCTGGAAAGGGTCAGGAGTTCACCTGGGAACTCGCCGAGCCTAAGTGGCTTCCTGTCCCACAAGCAGAAGCGAAGGAAGATCCTTTCGAACGCCACAAAAAGCAGTTAGCTTTGAGCTAGCCAATTAGCAGGTCGAAAGAGGGCATCACGATGAGCGCGGGAGCCAATGGCAGGTCAAAGAGGCTAGAGGGCCCGGTCCACGAGCCAATGGCAGGTCAGACAATGACAGCGGGAGCCAATGGGGTGTCAGGGCAGCCGAGCGCGGGAACCAATGGGGTGTCAGAGGAGCCTAGCGCGGGAACCAATGCAGAAGCAGCATGTAGCCAGGAAGACTTTATAAGACGTGCGGCGGCCACAGACACGCTTGTGTGACAACCTTCCCAAACCTGCAACAACATGAGGCTCCTGGTGGGTGTTGTAGTGTGGTTGTGTGTGTGTTGTGATCCAGGTTATGTGCTGTGATTGATTGATGGAGATTAAGCCACCCAAAAGGTGGCACGGGCATGGATAGCCCGTAAGTGGTGGCCCTTTTGAGCCATTACCAGTATCAAGAGCTGATACTGGAGATCTGTGGAGGTGCGACTGCACCCTGCGTGACGGGAGATGTCTCCCGTATGTGCTGTGCCGTGTTGTGCATTCATATCTTGGCCGGGTGATAACATAGCAGATTATGTATCATGTATCATGTATGGGTCAATATAACACTAAGGTTATCAACAGTCTTCAGCAGTAATGACCACATTAAGGTGTAATTCTTTTCGCCCTCAAGACGTAACCAGAAAACATTAACGAGGCGCTTGAAAGGAATACGAAACACTTGTATCATTCTCGAGTAAAGGCCCTCAACAGGGACACAGAATGTAATAGTAACCTTTAATAGGTAAACCCAAATTAGTGTCTCCCTCTCTAACAACATTAATAGTTAACTACCCAATTACTGAATCAAGGTGGTGCCTGCGACACATGACATTAACCAACCATTAACCTCAATTCGGCGCAAATTGTAAGGAAAAGTGAATCTGAAAATAGCTTCAAGAGTTACGAGAATTTCAAGGACCACTTGGAGGCATTAGTTAGGGCTCCAGGGATGTCCAGCCCTGCCTCCAGGGGTTAGTTAGGGCTCCAGGGATGACCAGACCTGCCTCCAGGGGTTAGTTAGGGCTCCAGGGATGACCAGACCAGCCTCCAGGGGTTAGTTAGGGCTCCAGGGATGACCAGATCAGCCTCCAGGGGTTAGTTAGGGCTCCAGGGATGACCAAATCAGCCTCCAGGGGTTAGTTAGGGCTCCAGGGATGACCAGACCAGCCTCCAGGGGTTAGTTAGGGCTCCAGGGATGACCAGACCAGCCTCCAGGGGTTAGTTAGGGCTCCAGGGATGACCAGACCAGCCTCCAGGGGTTAGTTAGGGCTCCAGGGATGATCAGACCAGCCTCCAGGGGTTAGTTAGGGCTCCAGGGATGACCAAATCAGCCTCCAGGGGTTAGTTAGGGCTCCAGGGATGACCAGACCAGCCTCCAGGGGTTAGTTAGGGCTCCAAGGATGATCAGACCAGCCTCCAGGGGTTAGTTAGGGCTCCAGGGATGATCAGACCAGCCTCCAGGGGTTAGTTAGGGCTCCAGGGATGACCAGACCAGCCTCCAGGGGTTAGTTAGGGCTCCAGGGATGACCAGACCAGCCTCCAGGGGTTAGTTAGGGCTCCAGGGATGACCAGACCTGCCTCCAGGGGTTAGTTAGGGCTCCAGGGATGACCAGACCTGCCTCCAGGGGTTAGTTAGGGCTCCAGGGATGACCAGACCAGCCTCCAGGGGTTAGTTAGGGCTCCAGGGATGACCAGACCAGCCTCCAGGGGTTAGTTAGGGCTCCAGGGATGACCAGCCCTGCCTCCAGGGGTTAGTTAGGGCTCCAGGGATGACCAGACCTGCCTCCAGGGGTTAGTTAGGGCTCCAGGGATGACCAGACCTGCCTCCAGGGGTTAGTTAGGGCTCCAGGGATGACCAGACCTGCCTCCAGGGGTTAGTTAGGGCTCCAGGGATGACCAGACCTGCCTCCAGGGGTTAGTTAGGGCTCTAGGGATGACCAGACCTGCCTCCAGGGGTTAGTTAGGGCTCCAAGGATGATCAGACCAGCCTCCAGGGGTTAGTTAGGGCTCCAGGGATGACCAAATCAGCCTCCAGGGGTTAGTTAGGGCTCCAGGGATGACCAGACCAGCCTCCAGGGGTTAGTTAGGGCTCCAGGGATGATCAGACCAGCCTCCAGGGGTTAGTTAGGGCTCCAGGGATGACCAAATCAGCCTCCAGGGGTTAGTTAGGGCTCCAGGGATGACCAGACCAGCCTCCAGGGGTTAGTTAGGGCTCCAGGGATGATCAGACCAGCCTCCAGGGGTTAGTTAGGGCTCCAGGGATGACCAAATCAGCCTCCAGGGGTTAGTTAGGGCTCCAGGGATGATCAGACCAGCCTCCAGGGGTTAGTTAGGGCTCCAGGGATGACCAAATCAGCCTCCAGGGGTTAGTTAGGGCTCCAGGGATGTCCAGACCAGATATTCAAAAGTGATGCACAAATAACCCGACCTTAAGCGATGTCTTGCAAGACGAGTGAGTGAGTGAGTGAGTGAGTGAGTGAGTGAGTGAGTGAGTGAGTGAGTGAGTGAGTGAGTGAGTGAGTTCTTGCAGGTGCTGATTTTATGGATGTCATTGTACATCCTGTATGTTATTGTCGTGTCTGTCAGTACAATGTTTATTCTTGTGGCTCCCTCCACGACACACCACCTACCCCCCCACCCCTACTCCACGACACACCACCACCTAACCCTCCACAACGACACCACCACCTACCCCCCCCCATCTCCACGACACTTCCACCACCTACCACCTCCCCTCCTCCACCTACCCCCCTCTCCACAACGACAACACCTACTCCCCTCGACGACAGCGTAGATCAGGTCTCCATACCCTGAACAGTGAACGTCAGTTTCCCGTGTTGCAAGCTAGTCATTCTTGCAACACTGAACACCGGTCTTGAGACACCATGGTTGCCAACTTGTTCAACAAGAACAAAGTCATTAGACACTTCTACATGATGCAATTAAGAAAAAAAAGTCCTCCTGTATTGCAAGGTCACTATCTTAAAAGTTGCAAATCAGCGTCAGTGGCACCCGTGATTGGCTGGGGATTGGCTGGATTGCATGATTGTGTCATGCAATCTGGCACCCGACACCAGTAGGCGGGGGCTGTGTCAGGTGCCATATATCTTGCACCTCCTATCTTGAGGTTATCTTGAGGTTATCTTGAGGTTATCTTGAGATGATTTCGGGGCTTTTTAGTGTCCCCGCGGCGGATCACAAGTCCAGCGTGCTGTCCGCTCGGCCGACCGGCTCCTCCTAACACATACATCATTAGCCTGTCTGTCTGTGTTTTCAAAATTATGCTAACATTAGCCTTTATTCTAACAATAATTAACATTATTCCCGAACTCTAGAGACAGTCAAGGCGCCATCAAGAAGCGCGGGATATATATATATTCCACTCTAAGAACACACACACACACATATATATATATATATATATATATATATATATATATATATATATATATATATATATATATATATATATATATATATATATATACAGTAATTATAGGTATCCTTATCTCTAATATAAATAATGACCCATTTCTGGAAGATGGATGCTTCCTGGTACTGTGTGACTCGCCCTCCCTCCCTCGCCACTATTGTCTTCACCGGTGGGGAGTTCGTGGATTTTCGCTACACCGGCTGTACCCAGCAACGGTCATAGTAGAGGGGCTGGTCCTAAACCTGCACTCAGAAATAACATCACATGAGACCAGAAGACATGGCAGGATGTGCAGAATACCCTCGTTGAAAAGCAGAGGTGCAACAGGTACTCTGAGAGAGAACTCTATCAACATCAGAGGCCCGAGACTGTTCAACACGCTTCCACTACACATAAGGGGCATAACTGGCCGACCCCTCACAGTGTTCAATACAGAACTCGATAAACACCTCCAAAGGATACCTGATCAACCAGGCTGCGACTCATACGTCAGGCTGCGAGCAGCCGCGTCCAACAGCCTGGTTGACCAGTCCAGCAACCAGGAAATCCTGTCAGAGACCGGGTCGCAGGGTCTTTGATCTTTGGACCAGCAGATACGACTGAGATGTGGTGGGACATTCTAGCATGACATTCTACCCATGTTGGCTTCCCCTACAGGGGTACTGGTAGTTCTATAAGACACGGATAAATGTCTTCTCATGAAACTGTCTCCAGTGTCAATCTGTGTCCACCTTTTCCTGCCTTATCTCGACTTCAGGTGGAGAATCATACAGCCAAGAGGAGGGACTCCTCTTGGCTGTGATCATCCAGATCGACACATGCTGACTGTGAGACTTTGTTTCCTGACCGTCAGGTACTCCCTCATCCAGCTTCGTGTCTTCCTAGTGACACCAGGTTGTCTTGAGATGATTTCGGGGCTTTAGTGTCCCCGCGGCCCGGTCCTCGACCAGGCCTCCACCCCAAGGAAGCAGCCCGTGACAGCTGACTAACTCCCAGGTACCTATTTACTGCTAGGTAACAGGGGCATTCAGGGTGAAAGAAACTTTGCCCATTTGTTTCTGCCTCGTGCGGGAATCGAACCCGCGCCACAGAATTACGAGTCCTGCGCGCTATCCACCAGACTACGAGGCCCCTACGAGTTACACGAGCTAGTCTTGCCAGCTTGTACACCAGCCTCGTGTGAGTGTGACACTAGCGGTGGTCTAGTGAGTGTACAAGATGTACATGTAAATACATGATATGTATTATGTAGACAACCAAAGGGAGCCGGTCGGCCGAGTGGACAGCACGCTGGACTTGTGATCCTGTGGTCCCGGGTTCCATCCCAGGCGCCGGCGAGAAACAATGGGCAGAGTTTCTTTCACCCTATGCCCCTGTTACCTAGCAGTAAAATAGGTACCTGGGTGTTAGTCAGCTGTCACGGGCTGCTTCCTGGGGGTGGAGGCCTGGTCGATGACCGGGCCGCGGGGACACTAAAAAAAAACGAAATCATCTCAAGACAACCTCAAGATAACCACGTAGAGTTCCACAAGTAGGTATTTTATTTAGTCCTAACAGGAAAATGATAAAAGTGATAGCGGAGAGGAAGGAATAAGAGAAGTTGGTAGAGAGAGGAAGAGAGAAGCAGTAGGAGGGAGAGAGGGAAGAGGATAAAGAAAGAATAGGGGAAGGGAGAGCGGGCGTTTGCATCATCCCAAATCCCAAATCCCAAATCTTTATCCTGACCCCTTCCCAGTGCTATATAGTCGTAATGGCTTGGCGCTTTCTCCAGATAGGCGCTTTCCCTTCCCCACAACCCACAGTTTCCTACACGTCAGTCACTCATAGTCGTTCTCTG